ACCATACACTCAACAAAGAAACACACCACATCCACAATTAACAAATCCACAAAGAAAAACAAACAATCAATCAAATCAATAATATATGACAGGTTACACACTCCCTTTGTTTAGAGCAGCAATAGCTGCAGGGATCAGGATATATTATATTCATTTTATATTTTTTAAGTCTGTTATTGTGTCACTAGTATTTTCTCTGATTTTGATTGTTTTTAACTTTAACGTTTGTTATTCTTTCAGATATACACCCGCTCAGTGATCGAGCCCCTCCCTCCTCCTCCGACCAAAGATGCCGCGACCTCCCCCATCTCCCTGCCAACGGCCGCTGCCGCTGCTGTCGCCCCCACCGCCCCTGCAGAAGGAGCTCCCAGCAGCCCTCCCAGTGCAAGCCCCGCCCCTGGACCTTCTGTGCCCCGCCCCCAGGACAAAACCAGGAAGAAGAAGATGTCCGACGAGGAGATCCTGGAGAAACTACGTAAGACTCGTTCTCACGCTCAAATGCACACACAAACAAACAAAATGATACGACAAGCTGACCTTGTACCTTCCAAACACTCCCGGTTATATTTATATAGATATTCTTTGTGTTGTTTAAATATAATTTATATTATATACAAATATAATTATACATATTTATATCACATCAGTGATTGTTGTACTAATTTCCCCTTCAAAAGAAATATTACCATTAGATTGGATTATATACACACCTTGGCTAAGTAACAAAAGGCACAGTATATGGCCAAAAGTGTGTGGACAAGGGAATAAATAAGGCTCTAAATTTAGGTTACATTTTGGTGATGGAAAAACTAGCATAGTTATTTTCAAAGGGATCCCTTGACCTCTGACCACAAGATATCTGAATGAAAATGGGTTCAGTGAGTACCCATGAGTCTCTCCTTTGCACACATGCCCACTTTATGGTAATCACATGCAGTTTTGAGAACAAACCATGCAGTTTTATGCGTGTGGTATAAATGTGTTGTTTTTGCCTAGTGTATTTGAATATTTCTGCATTCCGGGGTCCATAAACACAATTAGAATTGCATAGATTGGGGATGACTGGAAAACTGAGACATATACTTAATGCCACCTCTGAATAAGTACTACTTCAATCAATATGCAAATATGAATGTAGCTGAACTACCAGCAAGCTACTGCAAAATGTAGTTAAACTACTAGTTTAATTACATGTAGTTCACTACTGCCCAGCACTCAGACGGAAGACAGTTAATGTCAGGGTTGCTCCACTGATTAACTTAAAAGCCTTTATGAGGACCTGGAAGATTAAAACCAATGAGCTGTGACCAGTCAGGAATCCATCAGGGTCCTTATCAAGGTAGTGCATTAACATACATTGACCTAAACACACAACATTAACTGCACAGGCCTAATATTTATATATTCTTTTGTATAATATCAACATAGGTATTGTATTAGACGTGATTTGTAATCATTTTGTCTAAATAGGCAGTTATCTCATGTCTGCACTCGGTAAAGTGATAATTCTGATGCTGTTTCTACCTGCTGAAGTTCAGTGAGGACAGAGTCTCCGAGAGCTAATTTTAGTCTCCTTTACACTCTTTATTTTAGACAGGCTGTTTCATCACATTCACACACACACACACACACACACACACACATACACACACAGGGTTTGGTTTATTTTAGGCTCAGGTGGTATTTTCTTTTTTTTAACAGGATTTTGTTATATTTTTAACAAGTACAACTCAGAAAACACAGTTTATTAAGACAATGCTAAATCTAAAATTATAATATCCCATATATGATCCAATTTTATTTACTCTTTATTTTAGCAGGGAGCCCACTGACAGCTCAAAAAAGAAAAAAAAGAAAATCTTAACACAATTATACACATTTACATATATTTATGTCTATATACACATATACATACCTCTACCCGTGCACTTGCAGTTGCAAGTATATTCTCTGCTAGCTCAATCATTTGTTCTTTAAAAATGTCTTTTCTCTTGTGAATTTTGTTCATATTTGGCAGATATTTTACTAATTACATAATCTGCCTACATAACACTGTGTTCGTTATTACTTTAGGCCTCCATATCATGATGAAAATAATGGTTTTATAGCACACAGGGGTCTATAGTGTGTGTGCCAGCAATTATGAGGCGAGGCTGTTACATAACGTTATCACTTCTAACAAAAGAAACCTGCCTGCAGTGTCTCACAGTGTTCAAATGATCCTGTTAAAAACTTATTGAAGTGTTCGGTCTCTGTTCTCATTGTCACGTTTCCAACATGGCGGCCTGACTGTGCGGTCCTGACACTCAGTGACAGAGCTGTGTTGACTTACACTGTCACAGCTAACACATGCTAACGGGAGATTGTTTATGAGATATAACTGTAGCAGCTAACATGAACCTGATATCATTATTTAAGCCAAACAGAAGCTTCACACACAGACGCGTTGTCTCTGAAAGTCTTTTTTTTGGCCTTGATTTAGGTTAATACTCTTTGTTTTAAATGAGAATGATGTAAAAACATGTATCTCTATGTGAAGTTGGACCGGTGTGTAATTATCAGCATCAGCAACAATTTGGAACAGGCCTCTATATGGGACAGGCCTTTAATTGCTTTTGCACTAAACCCTTTCTCAGCAAATATGGGAAATAATATCAAATTTCTTATTTAAACTAGTATGAATATTAGTTGTATAAATATTAGGCTATCAAATAACATATTAATTACGAATCTTTAATGATTTATAATATTGTATATTACCTCATTATTATCAGGTTATTTCCCCATTAATGTCAGGTTATTATATTGTTACCAAAATATTACTACACTATAACTACATAGTTTTAGTTTTTACCCAGTTACATAAACCTTATTCTAATATTACCCAGAGATACTGTTAATACCAAGTTATTACCTGGCAATTACTTAAGTAATTACATGGGTTATTATTTAATTATTACCTCTGTAATATCAATTTATTATTCCACTGCCATGTTAATACCAAGCTTTAATGTAGTGCTATCCTTTTTCTCACTAGAAAAAATAAATTATTAGAGAGAAATCAGAAAGTAATTAACATAAATAAGTCATCTTGTGACCTCTCAGAACTATGGAGGACAAACAGTGACACAACTATTAATAAATAAATGCAGAAATAAATGATTAAATACATAATTAAATGAAAAATAGATAATACATGATCTATTATTACCAAATACATTTTGGTAAAGGAAAAGGCAATTTCTGTATTTTTACATTTATGTATATATTTATTTCTGCATTTATCTATTTATACTTACTGTCATCCATACAGATCTATATATCTATCTAAACATGTGCCAACTCCTGTACTTTAAAGTCAAATGAAGTCACCTTTAATTTCCTATAATTAAAGGGTGACATTGTACTTTTTAAACTCTGGGTCGAGCCCTCAGAATATTATATAATATGAATAAACTTCCTCCCCGTATTGAAATGTGTTTTTGTGTTTGTAACTCGTAAATAAAAGCCTGTATATTTTTTAAACCATGCCCCACGCCTGTCCAGATGTGCTCAGATCTCCCTCTGCTGGTAAGACCAGGATACTGCTGTCTGTCTGTCTGTCTCTCTGATCGACAGATCCGATATCCACTGTCCCCGCCCCCCACTGTCCAATCCTCACGTCTGATTGGTCGTCCTCTCTTTCCATCAGTCTCCTGCGGTGACAGAGTGACTCCAGTTTTGTCCTCTAATCACTTTCCTCCTGTGGACTCTGATTACTGCAGACAGAGCTGCTTCTTTCTTTCTTTCTTTCTTTCTTTCTTTCTTTCTTTCTTTCTTTCTCCTTCCTTGTTGTCTGTTT